CCCCCACTCTCCCAAATCACCCTTATCACTTTCCCTCTATTACGAACTGATGTGACAAACTAGATCAGTTGTGATCATCTCATCAAGGTTCTCCCCCAATGCATTGTGACTACCACTTTAGTATGGGTCGTTAGCAGGCGCCTCTGTGACCAGCACTTCGGTGAGTGGTTGGTTGGTGGACACCTTGGTGATGTCTGTCGTTTCTCCTTCCTTTCAGAGACATCTTTTCCTTTGGTGACCGTTATGCCGACCTGCCTTATTGAACTGGATGAATTTTTGTTTTGTTGCTTTTTTTGGGTACCGATCCATCTTTTTCAGTCTTGTTAGTTCTTCAGATTCTTTATTTTATATTATCATTAGCAAGTGTTCACCTGTTTTAAGCCTAGTGAGCAACATTTTTCAGAAGAGAGAAAACTGTTTCATTCTTTAGCAATTCTGCTTACTTTACATGTGGATATATATTTTTTTTGGTTTATCATGTGTCTAGTAATCTGCCATAGTACTTAGGTTTGGTAATCAGTAGAAATGCAAGGGGGAAGTAGTCATTAGAACAAGTGAGTGATTGTCTTGGACAGGTTCGACTCTCTTTAGTTTTGGTAATAAGTAGAGGTGGATTGACTTTTTCTGGTCCTTTGATTTGGTGACAGTCACAACAACATGATAGCTAGCAGCTTTAACACGACTCTTTCTGTTAAACACAGTGAAGTATTTTTTATGTATCCTGACTTTTCAAACCATGTAGTCGGTAGTCTAGTGGTGGATATACTACCATACCCTTAATTGTGAGATTGGGAGTTCAGAGCTACGATGCACTTCTCTGTTCAATGTTGTGTCCTCGGGAAAGGCACTTCACACAAATGTTCCTGTTTAGCTCGGTCCTATTGGAGATGGACGTTAGTCGCGGAAGTCTCACCTCCTCAGTAACCTTACTGAGTTGCAAGGAGCATTATGCCAACACAACTCAACACATATTTTCCCCCAGATTTGAATGTTGTATTCAGAAGATTCAATTTGACTAACAATGCATGTTAATGATGAAAAAATGCCACTTTATTCACATTTTTCTATGAATCTCTGCAAAATATCAAATGTCTTTGGAACATAACCATGATGGCAAAAAGTGAAAAATACCCTGAAAAGTAATTTGTGGAACATAAAAATAGGTTTCCCATTGCTTTCATTATCAAACATAAGCATGAAGAACTTATAAAATGGTGAGTATCCGAGAAAAAAGAAATTCTGGATGTCGTTGTGTTAGCATTTGTGTCATCGTAGTCATGTTCGAAAGAAATTTTAAAAACTTTTCATTTTCATATCTGAATTTATTTTCTGAAAATTTTGGCAAACAAAGACTCAAGAGATTTAGTTTGACTCATGGTGCATGCTAACAGTGAAGAATGCCACTTAATTCACATTTTACTATGGCTCTAGGTAAAATACCAAATATCTTTCATACGTAACCATGATAACACATAACAGATAAATGTTTGTCATAAGTCTGGAACATATCATCAATTTACATCAAATTTTCCTCTCTTGTTGACACCTAGCCAAGCACACGTGATCGCATCCAGATCTACCACTATTAATAGACCATTGGAACGCCGTGGGATGTTAATCATTAACTTGGTTTAAATTCAATTAAATGGGGGAAAACATTTTTCGGACACAACAGCTTTTTTGGAACATAACATGTTAAGATTTGATGACGACATAATAAGAACACTTAAATGAATTTGTCTCATCCATCATTATTCTTCTCGTCGTCTTGCATCGCACAACAATACGCTTTGAATAGATCGACAGGAACTGTGCGCATTCCTCCATCCCTATTATTTCTTGTTTTCTGATTGGTTCTTTCGGGCATAACAAATGATGACAGAGCATGAGGCATCGCAGGATTTCAGTTTTCTGCAAATTTATGTTTTGTCACAGCCACGGAATCAGTCAGGGCTGAGAGTAAACATTGAATGATACTATGCTTGTTCCAGGGCCCCAATATGGCCAATAGAAACGGAGTCACGGGGAATCGAAGTTGCCTTGCGATGCCATGAGTTATGCTCAAAAAGGAAAATCAAGAAGGCTCAAAATGAAAAAACAGCTACAGATATCTTTATTCCTGATACAACACCACAAATAACTGAGTCATAGTAGTAAAAGTGTAGAAAGAGGAGTTTCTCAGGGTTTATTACATTGTTGAATTTGACGAAAGAAAAAGTATGAACTCGATGCGTCATGTTTTGCATTCTAAAAATACATTGACTTCGGAACTAAAAATATTTGTGAGATTTCTTCTGATGGCCCAACTGCTATTTGTTTGCTCCCATAGCAGAAACATCATATTAAACATAACATACAAATTTCAAAGCTGCAGCGCCATTTTTACTGGACTAGGAAAGGATTTTGTAAAGGTATATATGAAGAAACCCATGCCTATTGGCAAAGGCTCATTATACGTATTTTTGTACAGACTCATTTTACTGGTTTACATTTATATATTATTTTATACTATGTATGAATGTATTCATGGAAGATTTTGGTCTTTTTTCACATCCCCCCTGGACTCTGGACTCCCTCGGAAACTCCCTCTATGCTGTTCTGGCTGAACCACATTTTACTCCCACCTTCTGCCCTCCCCCCTCCACCTCTCCCTTTCACCGGATGTCGTGGTTCCCACCCTCCTACCACCTGCCCCTGATTGATCACTGGACATCCCGGCACCCGATGTCCCGCCTCCCGTCGTTGTGGACTACAGTGGAGTCTCTGGCTTTTGCCTTGGTGTCTTCTCTCCAGAACGTTCCTCAAGGACCGTGAACTTAGACCATGTGATATAGAGACTGATTGATCTGTCTGTTTGTGATTATTCAAATTATACTGCTGATAGAGTGTGCCTGACATGTATGTATGGAAAAGAGGCAGAGAGGACTGAGTGTGTATGTGTGGGTGTGTGTGTGTTGTAGGTGTGTGTGTGTGTG